AGATAACTGTGGGAAACAAAAGGAATTATGGGTAAAACAGGGCCTCACGGGGGGGAAAAGGAGGAATTGTGGGAGTGAACAGAACATTATGGGAGGAACAGAGCATTGTGGGAGAAGAGAGAATTGTGGGAAATGAGGAATTCTGGGAAAAACAGACTCATGGGAGGAATGCAGAATTGTGGGAGAATGGAGCGCTGTGGGAAGAACAGAGCATTATGGGAGCAGAGGGCACTGTGGGAGAGTAAAGCACTGTGGGTAAAGCAGAGACTTGTGGGAAATGAGAGGAATTCTGGGAAAAAAACAGAGACTCATGGGAGGAATGCAGAATTGTGGGAGAATGGAGCACTGTGGGAAAGAACAGAGCATTGTGGGAGCAGAGGGCATTGTGGGAGAGAGTGAAGCATTGTGGGTAAAGCAGAGACTTGTGGGAAACAAGAGGAATTCTGGGAAAAAGGAGGTATTGTGGGAGAAAATGGAGCATTGTGGGAGAAGAGGGCATTGGAGTAAAGCAGAGAATTGTGAGAATCAAGAGGCATTCAGGAAAAACACAGACACATGGGAGGAATGCAGAATTGTGGGAGAATGGAGCACTGTTGGGAGAACAGAGCACTGTTGGGTGAACAGCGTGTTGTGGGAGCAGAGGGCATTGTGGGAGAGAGTGAAGCATTGTGCATAAAGCAGAGAATTGTGGGAAACAAAAGGAATTCTAGGAAAAACAGGCCTCATGAGAAAAGAAGAAATTATGGGAGAATGGAGCACTGTGGGACTAACAGAGCACTGTGGGAACAGAGGGCACTGTGAGAGAGAGCGAAGCATTGTGGGTAAGGCAAGGAATTGTGAGAAACAAGAGGAATTCTGGGAAGAAACAACATGGGAGGAAGGAGGAATTGTGGGAGAGACTGGACCATTATGGAAAGAACAGAGCATTGTGGGAAAGATGGAGGAGCACTGTGGGAAAGGCAGAGAACTGTGGGAAATAGGAGCTCTGGGCAGCCCAAAGCATCATGGGACAAAAGAATATTCTGAGAAAACAGAATCATGGGAATTTGAGGAAGTCTGGGTAAGAACAGAGAATCATGGACGACAAGAGGACTCATGAGAAACAACAGGGAATCATGGGACAGCCTGGGAATTTTAAGTGTGGTAGGATAAATGTGGAGGGCACAAGAAATGAATTGGTAGCAAAGGGAAAATTTCAATTTTAAGAGAAATAAAATAGGCCATTTGCGAGAGAACAAGTAGTCGTGAGAGAAAAGGGAGTATTATGGGAGAAGAAAGAAATGTGAGATAAATGGGGTGTCGAGGGAGAAAATAAAGTATTATGGGAGAGGCAGGGACCAGTGGAAGAAACAGAACTGTGGGAAAGGAGGAAAATTCTAGGAAAGAACAGATAATTGCTGGAGAGATGGCGATCTGTGAAAGGGAATAAAGCATAGTGGGAAATAACCGAATTGTGAAAGACAAAGGGAATCTTGAAAACAGTAAATTCCGGGAGAAAGGGAGAATTATCGGAGAATGGAACATTATGGGACAATCAGGCGACTGTGGAGAGAATGGGGCACGATGGAAAGGAACAGAACTGTGCAGGTGACAGGGAATTGTGGGCATGACGGAGGTGAAAAAGGAGAATGAAGAAACAGACCAATATGAGTGAGAACAAAGGATTGTGGGAGCAAGGATAGTATTAGGGAGAGGAGAGACTTGTGAGGTATGGTAGGGTGTTGAGGGGAAGAATAAAGAGTTTTGGGCGGGAGTGGTGGGGGACAAACAACCGTAGACATTGTACGGAACCACCAAAGCCCCCCAAAAGCCAAAGACCTCTTGAGGAAGAACAAAGCTGAGGACATTGTAGTCCTTGACTTCAACGTATAGCACAAAACTATAGTAATACAAACACCACATCGGCTTTAACACAGACACGTAGATGCGTGTAACAGTCCGCGAGTAAACCCACCCTATAATGCCAATCAGCTTGTGACAGATGCGCCCAGACCATACCATGGAAAAGAGACATATCAAGGGTCAGGCCAATGAGAGCAGAGGGCACATCTTTTCAGGCCATTGGAAAAAAGAAAAGATGTTAAAAATATCGAGCTAGAAAATAAATGATATTTATATTTTTTAATATTGAGAAAGAGAAAAGAAATGACAGCAACGGCAATGGTGGAAACTAGAAGACCACGAAGCCACCAATGACTATTCTGAGGGAGCTTCTCAACCCAGAACTGTACACCCAAACGGTGAATCAAGTGGCAGGATAAAACACACACAACACACACGTGTCCTGATTTCCAAGACTTCAAAACCCAGCATGTTCCGAAAACGATGCACAGCCAACGCCAGGGACACCGGGAGCCAGAGAGTCACTGCAGGGGGTGGGGGCTGGAAGCAGTCCCAGAAAGACACCCGCGGAGTCATTTCCCAACAGTCCTGAGAAGAAGAGGCAGAGGGGAGGGGCTTATCCAGGCGTGAGGTCTCCAAGGCAAAACAATGAAACGCACGGAGCCCTTGATAGGTTTGAAGGCATCAAGAGGAATGACCGGGAATGTAGGGATCATCACTCGTCACAAGGCCAACAGGGGGAAACAAGGCGAGTATTACATTCGAGCAAAAAATTATACCAGAAAAAACCATCTGTCATCACGAATATTTGCACAGTCAGATTAATGCAAATACTAAACTGTGGTTTATCTATAGTTCGATTTTAACTACGGGCACGGGGAGGGCCTTGTCTGTTTTTGGGGTGCACGTTTGCGCTGGCAGGTTGCTTGCAATGTGCAAGTAAAAGCTAGAAGCAACGGAGAGCAGTGAGTCTTTGCCTTTGGAGAATGGGAACTGTGCCCCCCCCCGTCTTCTTGCCCACCCACGACTACACCTGTAAACACCCTGCTTCAGTAGCTCCCTCTCTAAGAAGCTCCCTCCTCCCTTGTTCTCTTCTAGCCACTTCCTGCACGCCCCTCTGCATAGCCACTTCTTCCTTTCGGCCCCAGAAGAGTCTGCCCATGCAGGGTCACCGATGCAAAAACAATGTGTAACTCCTGTTCGCTCACCTGTCTTCCATCACCCAGGACGGTTCTTCCTCTTCCCTCTGTGCTCTCGGGAAGGCTGGGAAGAACAAGTATGTTCTCAGAATAGTGTATTTTCCATGCATGAGACAAAATACAAGAAATCACAAGAAGAACCAACTATATTGAAATACAGTTATCGACATGTTAAAAAACAATGCTTGCAGAACCTGGACTGGTAAAAGCCAGGCTCCCTGGGAAGCAGACACTGATGTCACGTAGCTTTCCAAATGCCATCTTGACCCAGTTTCCAGGCCCTGGCTAGAGGCTGGTCAGTTCCCCTTCACAAGCAGCTAAGGGTACACCCCCTAACCATGTCCCTTACTGGGTCCTCATACTCTGGGCCACTATGCCCCTGTCCCAATGGCCTCAGAGCCAGGCACCTGGGGACAGCCCCTGCTGCAGAGCCTGCTGAAATTGTTCAAATTAGTCCATTCTAAACCTTCCCATGGAAACCTCAATGTAGCTCTGGCGCACCTCACCCCCTTCCCCCTGCACCTGCCGTGGATGCCAGCGCCTCTCCTGTGGGCCCCTGCTGTCATGTGCACCCCCTCCCTTGGGTCCTGGAGGTATAAGAGATTATCTTGCCAGTGGCATTCACTTCCTGGTCTGTCAGTCTTCACAAGCCTAAATAATGATTAAACTTATTAACACAGTCAATTCCCAAGATTTGGGCCTGGGCGAGAGCAATGTGAAAAGGCCTGGCCAGCGTGAACGAAGGGGGGTGAGCTGTGATGCTGTGGGAGTCTCCGCTGACCCTATAAGAGCTCGGAAGGGAGGTGACCCCTTGAGGCCAGGGGCCCGGACTGCTGGTCCGTGGCAGGGAGCAGTCATCAGCTGCCGCCTGCCCCGAGAGGGTCCGGACAATTCTTGAAGAGTGAGTCGGCCCAGAACTGTCAGCTGCCAAGGCCCCAGCCTCCTGGGAGGGGCCGACCGGCCCTGAAGGGGCCTCCAGACAAACGTCACAGACCCAGTAGGTGACACAGACAGAACGCGTCTTTGTGAGCACTCTAAGTAACAAGACGCAAGTGTCCTGACCCAGAAGGAGCGATGAGCAATGTTGAGACAGAAAGTGTCGCATGTGCCGGCGTGGCTCTGTGATTTCTGTTAGTGCCGCCTACAGTGGACCCTGTGTGTTTGCGGCTTCCGCACTGGCGGACTCAGCCCACCTCAGAGGGAAATCGGGCTGTGTAGCCATCGTTAGGCCTAGGCGGTGAGGCCCGGGGGGCATGCACAGCCCTTACTTCTCACTCCCTGCACAACACAGTACGGCCCCCATTGGCCCAGCATCTCGCCTAGAGGCCGACGAAGGCTCCGCCCTCTTATCTGGGGCGGCCGCTCCTGCGTGCTCGGCATCAGCGCAGGCCAGGGGTGTCTGGAGGGCTGGCGCTGCAGCACCTGCCGCCTGCGCCCTGATGGAAGGAGAGAGTGGGCGGGCGTGAGCGGGGAGTGAGCATACACACCTGCAAGCGCGCACACCCAGCCAAGAGGGCCTTGAGGGCCGCGAGCTTGCAGTGTTCACTTTGGGAGCTCCAGAGTCGCCCTCGGTTCTGCACACGCCTGAAGTTTCGGGAGCCGCGCCCATGTACACTGCCCGGGACACAGTGTGCACGAGCAACGTAAACACTCCTGCAAAGCAGGCCCTCGGAGGCTCGAGGCAGGGGTCGCACAGAGCCTCACCCTCTGGAAGCCGGAGCCGCGGCCTCGGCGCTCCCGCCCGGGCTCGGCCTGGGGGCGGGACCCGGAGGTCGGGTCGAGAGCGGATTGGCCGAGGCGGATGGGGGCGGGGCCGCTCCTGGGCAGGGCCGAAAGCTCCGTCTCTGGTGCCGGCGCCCCGCCTCCCGCGCGCCAGGAAGCCCCGCCTCCCGCGCGGCAGGAAGTCCCGCCTTCGGAAGGGGAAGTAGTGGCGGCCGAGAGCGCTGGCCGTGACCCGGCCGGCAGCGGTGACCCAGCGAGGGGGAGGCGGCGGCGCATCGCTGCCGCTGCAGGCTCGAGTGCTGTGAGAGGCGGAGCCGCCGTCGGAGCAGCCAGGCACAGCAGTCAGGTGCCGAGGGGCTGGCCGGCTGGGGCCGCTGGGCTCTGGGGGCTGGAGCAGGTGGGATGCGCGGGGACGGTGCAAAGAAGCCAGGCGGCGCCCTGCCCTCACCGTCCTTCGAATCCCTTATCCGACTAGGTCCCCGACCCGATCCGCAGCCCCTCTCTAAGCCCCGGGGCGGGGGTTGTGGGGAGTCTGGACGCCTGGGCCTCCCTTCTCCCATCACGCCCTTAGCACCCCTCCATCCCTCCCGGGCGGCCTACACCCCGTCGCTGGGATGTGGCTTCTCAGAGATCTCACCTCACAGCCTTAGAGACGTGCCCCCGAAGGATGGTGTAGATTTGGGTCCTGTATTACCCAAAAGAGGGAATATGGTAAGGCTGCCCCTCGACGTGACTGTCCTGCCCATAAGGGTGACAAGGAGAAGGACAAGGCTTGGCGAGACTAAGCTCTCAGGGGAGAAGTGGGAGCCCAGGCGTCAGCAGTCACCCTTCTCTTTGCTTTGCTACGTGTGAATTTAGACTGTTTGGATTGCACACCGCGACTTCGGCCATGGGTTTGTCTGCATCTACCCCTGCTGTTGCAGTTCAGACTGCAAGTGCTTCCGACGGTCAGACAGCATCCCCGCCCTCCGGATGTCCAATGCATGAAGGGAAAACAAAAGGTAATCCCCCTTTGTCCAGAAAATGAAGCGAATTCGTCTTTAAGGAAGAGGCAGCATACATTAGCAGGGGCTAATGTAAAAGGGTATTAGTGAGGCTTCTAGCCTGGGCGTGAGGAGACCTGGGGTGGGTCTCGGGAGGCACATGACTGTAGACGGTTACTTCTCTGAGTCTTACCCCATCATCTGTAAGATGAGATAAGCCTGAGAGCCAGTGACTGGTCCGCTGGTGAGCTCCCACCCCCACACTTTACCTGTGTCTCCTTCAGCGGTTGTCGACCTCAGGGGTATTCATCTGTGTAAAAATAAGCCCGCTCCCGGTGCATTTGCTCCTCGTTCTTGAGGGGTAGAGGCCACAATGGAAGACCCGCTTTCATTTTGAAGCGATTCACATCTGCTTAGATTGTTCATGTAAAAGTCTGGTCTGAAACAGGCTGACATGTGACTTCTTGTTTCAAGACCTGGAGGGAGGAACCAACTCACCTTGCTTCCTGAGGGCTGATACTTCCTTGCCTTGTAGTCCTGCATTCCCATGCTCAGTCAGCAAGAACTCACCTGCTGCCCGCTGGTGCCAAGCACTGGTGGGTACTGTTTGTTTTTGCACTGAGACAACAGTAGCATATATAACAGACAGGAATTCTTTGCCTAATGGAGCTCACGTGTTCATGGTCATAATCCTGTGATTGGTTTTCTCATGCGTATAGTTAGGAAATTAACAAATCACACAGTTGTTAAGTGGCAAAGGCAGTGAAGATTCTATGACCTTGAACAAGGACAGATCCACACCCTTCCAGGGGTTTCTCCATACAAGAAGAGACAAGCCAGATTCAGATGAAGCAGGTGTCTGCCAGTTCTGAGCGTCCCCGGGGGTGGTCACAAAGCCCTCTTTCTGGTTTAATTTCATTTGCTGTGCACTCTCATTCAGACTCACTCGTAGGCGACTGAAGGGGCTACTGGCTATATAATATGAAGAATGTAAAGTAGTTTCTTTCCAACACCCAGCTCGGACCAGTGGCTGAAGGCTTGGCACTTTGAATGGCAGTGAGAAGAGGTAGAGCAAGTCCCCCTGCATGCAAAGGGGACAGATGACTCTAGGGAGTGCGGGGCTGGGAGGAGAAGCAGAGGAAAGGGGCTGGTCTTTGCGTGTAGGGCACCCAGCATGCTGTGCAGTCCTGGCCTTGCTGCTGCTGCCTCAGACAAGGATCCCATTACCAGCAGCTGTCTTCCTGGGCCGAGGTTCTCCTGACACCTGCCCCTTTCCTGAGTCTTAGACCTGCCTCACAGGCCCCACACTTGCTTGCAGCAGCCCCAGGCTCCTTGGACCTTGACTGCCCTTCCTGCTGCAGCTCTCAGAGGGTCAGCCCTTCCCCCTGAAGTGGCATCAGGACCCAGGTGGAGTGTGGAACATTCCCTTTACTTCTGCCTTTTCCTGCCATGCTCTTGCTACCAACAGATGGGGGAGAACCTGGGCTAGGGTTTCCTGTGCCTTGTCTTACTTGCGGAGCACAGCACAAGCAGGGTGGCATTCAGACTTGTCTCTACGAGCCTTTTTGAGTGGTCCCCTGCTCACGGTCATCTGTCCCCAGTACCCGAGAGGAGGCAGCAGTAACCAAAGCTGGGACTCTTTGTCCTGACTGGGCCTGGGGCTTGTGTGGAACTGGTGAGCAGAGTCAGGGATACCCAATGAAATGTACCCAACCCCCCCCCCACCCCACACACATACACTTAGCTTCCTCCGTACTGGCTCACAGCTGCGAGTCCAGGCAGGAAACTTCAGCCCGTTACTAAACCCAGGGCATGAACAATCCATTCTCTTGAAAATATTAAGGTTGTGGGGTGGGGGGTGTTTTTGCTGGGGGCATGACATGGTAAGAGAATGAGCTCTCCTTTGTCTTTCAAGCCAAAGGGAAAGTAAATTCATAGGCCCTTCTGCTGGTCTTCAGGGTGTGAGCAGGGTAGCTAGCTCAGCTCCTGGCAGCCTGAAACAGTGGAGAGCTGACTTGCCTGTAGTGGGGCCACTGGGCTGAAGTGCAGCTCCTTAGGGCCCGGATGAGAGAGCCAGGTGTCTTGCCTCTGTGGTCATGCTGTTCTTCTGCTTGATTCCAGGCTGTCCAGTGAGCGCAGCACCGTCTCAGTCAGCCTGGGAGCACAAAGCTAACTCTGTGCCTGCCCACCAAGAGCGCGCCTACGAGTACGTGGAGTGCCCCGTTACAGGCGCCGTGGCTGAGAATACGAACCTAGATCCTTCGAATCTGGTAATCTGCACTCGGCCCCCACTTCCTGGAACTTGTTATGCAGAGATGCTTTTACAGACACTCAAGACAAACTGCAGACCGCTAGGACTGTCTCCTGTCCTCTGAAAACCAAGACATCCTCAGAGAAAAAAATTCTAGAACACCTTTCTCAGTGTAGTTTCAGAGAGCACCCGAGGAAGAAACAGTGACCAGCAAGTGCCCGAGTAGGTTGAGGGGGAATACGCCAGGCCAAAGGCGTGTTTCCCTTTGGGCTAGAGGTGCTAAGTGCTAAGCGGGAGATCCCACATGCGCACACACGGGCAAACACACAAATACCATAGCTTCTGGACAGCAGACATTTACATTTGTTAACATATGGTACACACACTGCACTGTATGTGCGCGTGTCCTGTAACGTGTGTAAGTATCACCTGCATGTTTTCGGCCAAAAGCTGCAGTTCGTGGTACTGGTCGCTACCTTTTCTCATTTATTCCTTCAGTATATAGCAGGCTAGGAACAAAATCTGTAAACTCTTAATGATGTGATGGTTTTACCAACTACTTTTTAGGACCAGAGATTCTTAGCATGAAAAGATGCCAACTATAGCAACTTCTCCCAAGAACATATGCCAGCCTCCTGGCATCAGGAGACATGAATAAAACAAGGTGGATGGAGAAATTGGGGACTGGGGGATCCGCACTGGGGTCTTCTGATAACAAAATTTCTGAGAATAGAGACTCGATTTTATTTGCTGTGCTTTTATTTACTAGCAACTAGGCCAAAGCCTGCCGTGTATCACTAAATAAACAGGAATGACGTGACAGCACGTCAGGCTTGCAGTTTCCTCCTCTGCCTTTCAGTTCTCGCGTGTGTACAGATCCTGTATCTGTAGCTAAGCTAACGGATGATGGCTTCTTCTTACTCCCTGAGGAGAAAGACAGCAGACATTTAACCGTAATGTGTAGTTACCACAGGGAGAACTTACACAACAGGGAAGAGCCTCTTCAGTGCTCTGTCTTCAGAACAGCCCAATCATCTGAGGGGTCTGAAATGCCGCTGGTGTAATGGGGCATGCGTGACGGGTTGCTTGCCGGGAAGTGGTTCGTGTCATGCCTGTGTCTACTTTAGACATTTCCACCATTAAAACCAAACTCCACCTATTTTATTTAGATGCCGCCTCCTAATCAGACACCAGCCCCCGATCAGCCATTTGCACTGTCCACTGCCAGAGAGGAGTCATCCATCCCCAGGGCTGATTCAGAGAAAAAGTGGGTGTACCCTTCAGAACAGATGTTCTGGAACGCAATGTTAAAGAAGGGGTAAGTGTGTGAGCATTTTCAGGGGAATACAAATTTGCTCATCAGATTTATCTAACAGTTACATGTTAAACAGATTGTTATCGCCCAAATACACAGCAAGTTTATATAAGTTAATCACTTTGTAACAAGCAACTGACAGGAATGTAAGTGCCAGTGTATTGCTTGGGACTCTCCAGAGAAACAACCAACGGGACTTGTGTAACTTTGTACATGAGACTTATTTTAAGGAGTCAGCTGACACTGTTACAGAAGCCGAGAAGCCCCAGCATCTCCAGGCACTAGCTGAGGACCGGGAGACCCAGGCAGAGCCCGCATTTTAGTGCGAGGGCAGGAGAATCCCAGTGTCCCAGCTGGAAGGCAGGTGGGGGGCTCCCGCTGATGCAGCCTTTCTGTTCTAGCACACCAGGGCAAGCCACCTCACTCGGTGCTCCCGTTCACGTGTTCATGGCGCCCAGAGTGGCGCCTGACCCCATGTCTGAGTATCCTGTGGCCCGTCAGGTTGACCACAAATATGAACCCATTTCAGGATAACTCAGGAAAAATTTTTGGAAAGACGCTCTTGGATAAACTACTTGGAGGCAGTTAGGGAGTCACGCACCGGTGGTGCTCACTGAAAACATGTCATGTCAACATGGCCTAGGCCTTGAGAGATGCATGGCGGATTGTGGACTCACTGACGTGGGCAAGTGGATTCGCTTCGTGGCATTGTTGGCAGCTGTCATCTCGAGCACACGTTCTCCCCTAGGTGGAAGTGGAAGGAGGAGGATATTAGCCAGAAGGACATGTATAACATCATTCGGATCCACAATCAGAATAATGAGCAGGCGTGGAAGGAGATTTTGAAGTGGGAAGCCCTCCATGCCGAGTAAGTATATGCGGGACCTTTAAAACGCGTCCTCCCAGCGTCTCCCCATCTCCCTGACCCACGACCAGCCGCAGCCACAGCGTCTGCAGCGACTGACGCCGAAGGCTGCCCACTGGTGACTCGTGGCGGGACTGGCACAGAAGAGGAGAGGAGAGGAAACCTGTCAGTGTCAGCTCCCTTTCCAGTCAGCGGCCAGTTTCATCAGAATGAAGTCAGCCTTTTAGAAGCGCATGCCCCCGTCTGGGTTCAGGCTACTTCTGTGACCCCTTGACAAGAGATGCTAATGAGCTTTTCCCAAAAAGGAGACCAAGAGTGCCTCCCCTGGGGTCCTTTGCACTTGCCTGGTGTCTCCCTCCCACCTCCTTCGAGACCCCCAGCAAGGCTGAAGCCTGTCTGACCAAGACAGCAGCTCGCCAGAGGGGCCCTCCAGCATGTGCCACTGCCCCTGCATCGGGCACGGCTCACGGGGGCGTGCTGTCCCCAGAGGCGGGGCGTGGGTAGCTGGCACCTGGTAAGCCCTCACCAAGGGTCTGCGGAGAGGAGGAGCGGGTTTTCTAGCAGGGACCTTGCCTCCTGGCCCCCCGCGTCGTCGGCCAGCACTGGCCTTCCTGCGGGACGGCGCTCATCGCGGGCTGCGGTGAAGGGAGAGTCCAGTCTCCCTCCGGCCGAGAGAGAATGCTCTTATGCGGTGTGGCCGGGCAGGTTATGCTTTGGGCCTGGGGTGCTAACACCTTTTGTATGGAAATTTTGTTACCATATTCCGATCCAAAGTGATCTACCAAATTACCAAATGGAACACCCTACTTCCAGATAGCAGGGCATCCTGGGTAAGATGCTGCTATCTGAAAAGTCCCAGCTGCTCTAGGCTGAGGAGGGCGCCGCCCAGGCCTCATCTTGCTTTGCCGGGACTGTGCCTCGGCCATGCGCCCGGGGAGGGCCCTGGTCCCCAGCTGCATGCTGGAAGGTGGGGGTAGTGGAACATGCCTTCCCGGCCAGAATAAAGGCCTGGGACCAGTAGGGCTGTTTCTCGGAATTGTTCTCCAGGCCCCTCCCTGCGCGGGGACGCTGCATCTCTTACTGAGAAATGCAGCACGCGGTGTGCAGAGAGAGGCAAGAGAGCTCACGCCGGCTTTCCTGATTTGGCATTTCTAGGGAGTGCCCTTGTGGGCCCTCGCTGGTCCGGTTCGGAGGTAAATCGAAAGAGTATTCACCACGGGCAAGATTTCGCTCCTGGATGGGGTGAGTGGCAGCACACGTGTTAGCTCACAGCAGGGGCGGCTTTCTCTTGGCAGGCAAACCCAACAGCCTCAGAGCAACTGTGCCTTCTTCCAGAATGTTCCAGCACCTGCCTTCCAGTACTCCTGCCCCTGCACTTTTCCACAGGGTGGGGGGCAGATGGGCATGTCTGGGGGTGGCTTCCCAGCTAGTCCTGTGCGGTGGGGTTGAGCTGTCTTCTGTGAGGATAGGAGCTGGCCCACCCTGGTCTGGACCTATCAACATGGGGCTTTGCCCCCACATATCCCCAGCCTGGGAGCAGGTGTTACCAGGTGCTGCTGCTCGGCCTTTCTCACTACTTCCATGGAAGCCAAAGGCACCGCCAAGCCTTCAGTGCTCACTCGCATGTTTTCGTTCCAGGTATGAGTTGCCTTTCGACAGGCACGACTGGATCGTCAACCGCTGCGGGACAGAAGTCAGGTATGTCATCGACTACTACGACGGCGGCGAAGTCAACAAGGACTATCAGTTCACCATCCTGGACGTGCGGCCGGCCCTGGACTCACTGTCGGCCGTGTGGGACAGGATGAAGGTGGCCTGGTGGCGCTGGACTTCGTAGCCAGTGCTTTGTCGGAGATGGGAAAATACCAGCTATTTTTCTGCAGAGCCATACATTAAACTATTTTCCCCCAAAGTGACTTGCACGCCTGGTGTCGTGGGAACGTCAGGTGGGTGATGGCACCGTGTTCATATTCCTTAGCGAATGGAGACCAGGCATGCCCTCCAGGCCCCGCTTTGCCCCTGGCAGTTAAGAGCAACTCGTTTAAGTTTCCTGCCCTCCCAGCCGAGTGGGCAGCAGTCCTGAAATTTCCCCTTTAACTGCAGCTTTGCCTGTGCATTTCCTCTCGAGGAGTCTGAACAGCCTCAGAAAAAGACTTTTGAGAAGAGAGCCGCTCTTCCCTTGCTGCCTCCTCCTGGCCACGGCAGGGCCCTTGAGCAGACCCGAGGGCCCACACGGTGTGACCAGGTCAAGTATCTGAACCCACGCTCTTCCTTGTGAGTGAGTCGCTGGGCTTTCCCAAGTGAGCGGCCTCTCTGAGGTCCCTGCAGTAACAGGAGTGGCCCCTGGAGGAAACGCGGAGGTGGGCCCCGGGACGCTCTCACGGCTGAGGCTTCTCAGTGCTCCGCTTTCCCCTTTACCTGCACTTCAAAGCCTGCAACTTTTGAGATAGTTTCCTTTTAATCCCCGTGGTCCCACGGCCGCTGGCTGGTCTCACTCGTTGTGCCTGGCGTTTGGCAAGTTCCCCCAACTTCGAGTCCCCCTCCTCCTGCCTGAAGCCTCCCCTCTCTCCTAGTCTGAACCTGGAAGGCCTGGCTGGCTCCAGCGCCGCCCAGGGATGGTCCTGCCCTTGAGTGCACCTGGGTTGGCGTGACTGCTGGGCTTCCCAAGAGTCTTTCTGGCTGAGGGATGAATGTCTGTGTCAACTCTGTCTCGGGGCAGAGGCTTCCTAGGGGGCTCTGGTTGCCACCCAGACTCTGTGCCCGCAGTCCAGAAGCTGGCGTGCAGCGCGTGTGGCCAGGGACCATTGGGGCCTGTGTGTTAAAGTATGGTACCAGCTCCTGATTTCTCCTGAAGGCCGGAGCGTTAAATTGGCGGATGGCATTTGATGGTCGGGAGTGGTTCACATGGTGTAGATTTTGTCGTCGTGTCAGTCTTGTGTGGAGCTTTAAAAATCACAACCGGAAACTTATACATTTCAAACTATTTGCGTATTTTAAAATAAAATAAAGCTGATCAATACTAGGTTCTGCAGATCTTTTAAGAGTAACTTGACACTTAATAATCGATTCTTCAGACAGAGGAAATCTTTGCAGGAGGCTGGAGGCTTGCTGCTGGAGGCAGCTATTTTCTCCTCGTCATCAGACATTCTCAGGCTTCTGAGGGAAGGATTGCTGTGGCTTCCCCTGGTTGGTGCTGAGCAAGCGTTTGAGAGGAAATTTTGAGAAACTAAGCGGCATAACCGGAAAATGGAGACAGTCCAGGCAGGTACTCACCCCTTCACAGGACTAAAGTTTTCCATGAGAAAAGCCACCTCTAAAGCGTCAGGCCGAGCTGATGACAGGGTCACAGTTTACACACCCTCCTGCCCCTCCTGGAAAGGCTTAGAGTAGCTAGATTTCAAAGCCACGTTGTGTGGGGTTGAACTTAATTGCATGCAGGGGTCAGGAGTCTGCTCTGAGAGATTTCATCTTATGACTTCAAATTCATTGTGGATATTGTCTTAATTTCAAATTAAGTCTTTTAATTATGGAAATAGCACCATAGTACCTCAGAATCAGAACAAACCACTGTAGGTTAGGCTAAGTATTAGCAGACAAGTCGGGGATTCGAACTGGGATTGCATATTAAAGTGTAATATTTCCAGTGGTTTCCTAGGGACCTGCATTCAGTAAATGTTCATGTCCACTCTGTGCCTCATGCCCTGACAGACATGTGTCAAAGGTTCAGGCCCCGCCACAGGAACTCAGACCCACGGTGGACAGGCTCGAGGCTGGGCATGGCGCTTGAGAAGGCAGACAGCCGCCCTGGGGGCCCGCTCAGCCCTTCCTTACCTGTGTGAGCTGAAGGCATCTGCTTCCCCCGCCAGCGGCAAGAAGTACAAGATTCAGTGTCTAGTAAGACTCCACCTGCTTTATAGATGCCATCTTCCTCCTGCGACAGACTGGGGAGGACGCTGGACTCTTTCGTAAGGACACTAGTCCCATTCGTGAGGCCTCCACCCCCATGGCTTAATCACCGCTGCTTACTACAATCACTTTGGGAGTTAGATTTCTACATGAACTGGGAGGGGAGGGAGACCACAAACATTCAGACCATAGCACTGACTTACTAGTTATATTGAGGGTGCAAGATGGTGACTGAAGCACATAGAACTCACGGTCATGGCTTGTCAGCCTCACGTCATCAGCAAGGACAGGGACAGTCAAAGCAAGGAAAGGGACAAAAGTACTGAGACAATACAGTCTCCTCTGCCCCTTCCTCAAGAAGGCTGTAGGGGACAAGCAGTCTCCTCCCCATTCAGTTAATTATAAGGGGTAGCAGGTGCCTGGCTGCTTGCTCTAAACAAGTGCCTGTTATTTAAAACCACTACCGGGGCCTCCCCGGTGGCGCAGCGGTTGAGCGCTGGGTCGTGAAGCTGCCCGCAGCCTCCGCTGCGCCGGTTCGATTCCCGGCTGCTCCCCGGCCACCGGAGGAGGGCCCCACATGGTGCGCAGACCCCCCCCCCCCCCGCCGCCCGCCGCTCCCCCCAGCAGCAAGGGGCAGCAGGTGCCTGGCTGCTTGCTCCAAACAAGTACCTGTTATTTACAACCACTACAGGGGCCTCCCCGGTGGTGCAGCGGTTGAGCGCTGGGTCGTGAAGCTGCCCGCAGCCTCCGCTGCGCCGGTTCGATTCCCGGCTGCTCCCCGGCCACCGGAGGAGGACCCCACATGGTGCGCAGACCGCCCCCCCCCCCCCCCGCTCCCCTCAGCAGTGTACCTCGGTCCCTCTGCCTGCTCTGCTCCCCGCTCTGGCTCTGGTGAATTCTCTCACCCTCCCGCGCTTCTGACTGTACTCAGTGCGTGTATAAATAAATCTTAAAAAAAAAAAAACCACTACAGAAAGAAGTCAGGTCGCGGTCTTGGACCTTTATAAAACAGAAATATGGTGGGGCAAGGACATTTACTGAATATGCGCATCCCACTTGACAAAAGCAAAGAGGATAGTTAGGCTCTCGCCTGCTAATGCAAAACAGTCCGCTGTGTCCTCAGGATCCCACCCCATGAACACTTAAGATGGATCCAGAAGTCAAAAGGGATGTGACCAGGAAATGTCACTGCGAATAAAAGGACACCCACAATTATTTCCAAGCCCAGGGATTGCGACAAGATTACATTTTCAAGATCACGTGATTTCTTAGGCCTAGGGTAGTGGAGTGCTGTCCCCTCTCCCCTTGCAACAGGAACCATCTGTTCTGCCTGGAGCTGAAGCGGCCCGGCCTGCAGTAAAATGCCAGGCCCTCCGCACCAGTGGTGCCACGTACCAGTGGTGCCACATTACTTCCTTGTGTCCTCTGCTCCCGTTTTAAAGGGACAGCGACAGCACTTTCTGCCAAGGATGTAACCTGGGGTCCCATCTGTCTTCTGAAACAAATGTATCTTTCTCCAGTGAACCTATTGTTTTCCTGGTAGAAGCCATTTCCTCTCGCCCCTTTCCAGACTACGTTAGATAGAGACACCTTTAACCTGGAACGTTTAAGGAGCCAGCAGTTTCTTCTCTTGGCTTCTCTCATGCACAGGAAATAAACCCCTTTCTCCTCGAAAGCGGTTTGGCCAGCTTAATTCACAGGACGTCAGAGGGGAAAGGTTTCCCCCTCCCCTACACCCTGTGAGCACAGGGGGGGCGGCTCATTGCGTGGTAACAAGGAGCAGCTGTGCGCCCTCTAGTGGGCAGCGGGAGGCACCGTCCTCACATCTTAATCTTGGAACCGGGCGAGGGAACCAGACTCGTTGAAGGGGGGACGGCCTGAGTCATGCTGACTTGGAAGGAAGTAGAGTAAACGCGTGATCCAGAAATAGAAACATGCAAAGGAGGGAGAGGACTTGGCGTCCTGCAGCCCGATTCCAACTCAAGCGTGGCGCCCCCCCACCCCCGCCCCGCCCCGCATCCAGCAGTTCTGACTCCAGCAGGCGCCCAGGAACTAGGCTCAGCTGGCTTCTTGCCTCTCCCCAGAGGCCAGGTCAGAGTCCATGGGTTAAGGGCTCAGTCTCCCAAGACAGCCCCCTACTTCAGACTCGAGGGGCAACCCCGGGTTCAGTTCATTGGCTGGAGCAGCTCACCGAAGGCAGGAAATCAGTTTACTCACTAGATCGCCGATTTATTGCCAAGGAGATTAATCAGCAACAGGCTCATGGAGAGATGTGGGGGCACCATGTGGGCCAGGGTGCCGAGCCCCTGCGCCCTCCGAGCAGGCCACTCTGCGGAAATTCCTCCCTCGCCACCAGAAGCTCGCCGAGGCCCCGCCTCTTGGGATCGGAGGCCTCCTTGCCCGGCTGTGATCCATGAAGTCACCGGCAGGGGTGCGTGAATTACCCTCCAGCCCCTCTCCCCTTGGAGGGCTGGGGGCAGCACGTTCCCGCCCTCTAATCAACTGGCAACCAGCCCCACCCTCAGGTGTTTTCCAGAAGTTGCCTTCATCAACTCAGCAGGAGGCACTTTGAACACCCTCAACACTTGGGAAATTCTGAGGCTTCTGAGAGCCGTGAGCCAGGTAGTGCAGACCAAGGCAAAGGGTATATGGCAGATCTACTTCGATCACGGTACTGTAGCCTTCTCACAAACCACTGTCTCGCCAAAGTAGATGAGTGGGTGGGCAGGTGGGTATGGCTAGAGGGATGGATTCATCTATTCCTTTATTGCACCATTCACTGATTACCTACCTTGTGCCAACCGCTGGGATCCTGCGGCGTCCGCAGCGCCGTTGGCAGTCTCAGTTGCTGTTCTCACAGTACAGGTCACAGGGGCTGAACTATTCCAAGCCCTATTTGCTGGACTAACTACTCTAGGTCTGACCAGGGACAGGCGGACACCACTTTTGTAGCCTGTGGCACAAACATCAACCTCAGGGCCATTTGATCTGGAAGATTTGGGAAACAGGACTGGAGGAAAGAATTTGGCAGGAAGTGGGGGGGTCCCCTATTTCAGACGGTGCAGTCCAGAAAGGATGGAGAGAATGGCCGGGGTGTGGTTTGATTCAAAACCAAGACAGCACAGGGTGAGCAGGGGCAGAACGAGAGCAGGCGGCAGGGCAGCCCGCGACCCACAAGCAAGTGCTCTTTGCTCCGGTCTGGTTTGCAGACTCTTGGCTGCGCATGGGTGGCCAGGAAGAGCCAGGGTGTCAGTGGCAGGGGTGCCGGACCCGAAGCCAAAGAGGCCCCAAGCGCTCCCCAGTAAGAAGCACTGGCTACCATGTCTAGACTTTGCTCTGTCTCCCTGAAGAACACGAGGCCTCAGCCCACAGAGCAGCTGGAACGCAGGAAGTGTGCCGGCCGGGGAGGACACCTCGGTTCCGGTCGTGCAGTAAATCACCCCCAATTTAGTTAATCAGGCTTCACTTGCGACAAAGTTATTATAAATGTCTGATGCATCCATGTCACTGGTTGATGTCCCCAAGCCATAGCTGTGCCTGTGTGGAGTTGCCATGATTTATAACCCCGGGACCTAGGAATATCGAAGAGTCTGGAATGGGGTGCGAGTTCATTCATTAGATTCAATGCCAGGGAACAAAATCTTTGCTTAACTTTTTATTCATCATGGCACAAGACAGAGCTTTAAGAAACACCACTGAGAATGTCATCACCCACATGGAAATTAAGAGTAGCATGTTTTATAAAAAAAAAAAAAATTCTTTTTTTTCTATAATACACATTCCCTTATGAAGTGAAACAAACAAAAAAACAACAAAACTCCGAAAATACTGAAGCGAATCGCCACCTGCCAGTCAAAAATGGTTTCGCGGTTGAAAAACTTCAAACCTGGTAGAGGAGTAGGTAGGAGAAGATTACGATGAAACACACAGAAGATTGCCGATGAAATCACTTCCTCAGCCTTTGGCACATTGTAAATACAAAGCTGTAGCTTTTTCCCACATGCGATCTACTTAACAAATCATGGCAAATAATTTGGTTAATACTGATTATGGGGCAAGAGGGAAAAATCATGTTCTGTAATTTAAATACTCTATTTAGATTCTTTAACACGTTCTAGCTGGGTTCCAGTTTGTAGTTTTGAAAAATACATAAAATTATATGTTATAAATATATATTATATATG